ATCAAGTTTTTAATTCTAACTAAAAGCAACACTGACTCTGGTTTTTCATGTTTAATACTGTAAAGCTGCTTGATTTAAGGCTATTGCATAAAGTACTAAGCTATATAAATTGACTTGACTGGACTTTACTGGAGTACTAAACTGCAGAGCTCATGCAAACATCCACATCGCTGTAATCAGATGCGTTCTTAACTGCTGCTTTCACACTGCGGTAAGTTTTTGTTGTGTTTATTTTTGTTATTCAGAGGAAAGTGCGCAGCATATATTTACATAATCATCCAAACGTTGCTCAGCAGCCTCAAGGCCATTTCACACTCAGCGCGATGCGGAAAAGCGGCGTGAATCGCCGACGAGCTGTGCTTTCACACCGAGCACGAAACGATTGATTGCCTTCTGCTAATTCACGCCTGCACACTAGGTGGTGCCTAGCAATGCATTTGTACTCAGATATGTATCTCATACATGGATTTAACATCGTCCACTGCTCGATATACAGCATTAAATATAGCTAAATAAAGTTTGGTTCTACGCCAGAAACACAAACTATCTATAATGCTTACAAGAAAACTTCTTAAAAAATAAATATAAGTACAATTAGCATCAAGCCACATTTGAAAAATTATGTGATATTTTTTTTTGCTTAAAACCCACTATAAACCATCATCGAGTGCTTGTAATAACTTCCGATTGTGATCTATAGTTGATTTTGATTCTATAATAGGCAGACATGCACTCTTTGTAGGCTATGTTTAATAACGCCACACTGCTTATTGTCATAAACATCCTTTATTGTTATAAAATTACCATGAGCTGCATACAAAACACATACAGAAAATATATCATCATAATCATATGTCTATTTGCTTTCATATTTCATGTGTAGAAAAATGTTTCACTCGTATTTTTTTTACACGGAAGATCTAGAGAGATAACGCGCTCTGACTCATAACACTCGCGCACGTGGAAGAAAACGGACACTCCAGATCACATAATTCAATGGAGAATTTAGAAATTATATTTAAAACATGTGAGAATAAATCTGTTCTCAGATACCAAAGAAAACGGGAACTCGGCATCCACTCTCTTCTTCGGAGCGCCACCACTCGTGCAACAGCAGCTGCTCTGGGCACGTGATTTAAGCTCAAATCTGATTGGACGGCCCGTTTCATCGTGGAGCGACGGGGAAAAAAATCGACACACAGGACGATAAAAAAATCCTCACTTTTTCGCACCGCGAATGATCGCACCTGGTGTGAATAGCCCCATAGGCAGGGTGCGAACTACAGGGGAGCTACTTTGTAGGCTATGTTTAATAACGCCACACTGCTTATTGTCATAAACATCCTTTATTGTTATAAAATTACCATGAGCTGCATACAAAACACATACAGAAAATATATCATCATAATCATATGTCTATTTGCTTTCATATTTCATGTGTAGAAAAATGTTTCACTCGTATTTTTTTTACACGGAAGATCTAGAGAGATAACTGACATGCAATTTCAGTTTTGTGTAATGTGATCATCGTGGATTATCATGTTGCAAATGAGTGGAATTTGAGGAAATGAGTTCCCCCTTGTGGTGGCTGGGTTGTTATAGGTCTGCATGACTCTCGATGTTTCAGGCCTAATTGAATGGAGTAATTATGGTATTCTTCTGTAGCCTGACGACGAGTAACTTTAACTGTTGTTCATGTGATCTCAAAGAGAGCCTGATGCTTTGTTTATAGACTATTTGTGGGTGGCTGTTTGTTGTTTCACCTATCAATTCGTGTCGATAAAGTATAATAGGGTAAATCCTGTATAGCAAGCTCACAAATCCAAGTGCCACACTGGTTAAACCACGTTATTGCGGGCTCTTACATCAGGTCATATGAGATCAAATGACTACTCGACAACTTTTTATTGTCGATGTTATCAATAATTGTCAACTAATCGTTTCAGCGCTATTATAAAGTAAATATTTTGTTGTCTAAATGCTGCATTAGTAGAGAAAGTACAGCAGTATGTTTGCCATCAAGGCTGAGAGGACGCGAACATTAGCATTACCTCAAAAATAATGTGACCAAAACATACGCAAGTCTGGCCCAAATGTTCAATGTCACGATTGTTACCATCTATTTGCATTAGTTTATATCCAGCTGGTCACATTAATGCATTTGTTAGCCAGCAAAGTTGCAGATTTAAAGCTAGTGACGTGAGAAAGCAAACTGATATGTTCATGCAGCCGACAGAAATCCTGCCGAACCACAGAGTGCCATTCACAGAGATTTACATTAAATTAGTCCCAAATCGCTGATAATGTACATAGTGAATTCACTTTACCCTAGGCTGTAAAATTTTGTATAGTGCGTTTTTCAGCTAAACATTTGTCTTTCTGAGGCTCGAATAAAGTATGCTTCATTATCATATAGATTGTGCTTTCTCTTTCCATTTAGGGCGCAATGTACATATTAATATGAGGGCATTTTCCATATTGATTTTTTTTTTTTACAGGT